GGACAAACAGTCAGTGGAATCCGAAGAACCGGTCAATCGGAAGGACTCCTGTCAGACGGTGCCGTTGGGTAGTGAGTTCACAGGTATTCACTTAGGTATTCTTCAACTAACATTTTTTTAGGCTAATAAAAAAAAAAAAAAAAACACCGGTTGCTGTCAAGTGAGTTCTGACTCCTGGGCGCCCTGTGTGTAACACAATAAAACTGCATCCATATGATTCTGAAGACTGCCTGTGCAAAGGCAGATCAGCAAGCTTTTATGGGGACACATTACCTGTACTCTCCGCTGTATAATTCACACGCACATTAATCATCTATAGCAATTGAAATGGCGGCTAACGGTGTTAAACTTGTAAATATGGTAACTTTGTTGGGAAAGGGGGTTACTGCCATTGAAATCGAGAAATAAGGAGTAGCTAAGGCTGGGATGCCGGGTCAGGAAGGGTTTGAGGCTAGCAGGTTGGTTAAAGGTTTGGGGGGAAGCCAGGCATGGGGAAGGAGGTGTACGGCCGACACTGGCTCTCAAAGGATGGAAGAAGAGACAAGATGGAGGCACAGGGGTGGGGTCAGCCCGGGGCAGGGTGACCTACACTTCTCCAGTCAGACCAACGGGAAGGAAAGGAGGCATGAATGCACAATCACTCCAGGGGAATCTTTAAACAAAATAACACTTGATATTTTAAAGACATAAGAATCAAGGGCCCTTGTTGTGACGACTCAACCCAAACCAAAAGGAAACTCACTGCCGTGGAGTCGATGCTGACTGGTAGCGCCCTTTGAGATGGGCTAGACCTGTCCCAGCAAGTTTCTGAGCCTGCAGTTTTTACAGGAGGAGAAAGCCCCCTCTTTCTCCTGCACAGTCACCAGTGGTTTCAAACTGCTGGCCTTGCAGTTAGCAACCCAAAGTGAACTCGAGGAAGATGGAAGAGCTAGGAAGATGGAACAGATTGGCCAAGCACACTTGAAGAATCCAGTGTTTTCCTCTTCTATCACCACCGGTGTATGCAGCTTTTCCTAAGTAGTCAATTATAGTGGAAGTTTGCTCCCAAATTGTAAACTTTAAAGGAATTTTAGTGGACCTAAGAGTTTCTGATTCCCACTGGATGGGAGGGCTGTGGTTAAACCCAGCTGAGATGGCTCCTACCTGGTTAGTGTTCAGAGTCACCTATCAAGAGAGATTCAGTATGCTGAGGATAAAGGGAGCTGGGAGACCCTTACCAGTGAGCCGTCTCAGTGGAGACTAAGGAAAGCCAGGATGTTAATTCTTCAAGACGGAGATCCAAATGTGAAAGTCAGTCAGGACTATGGTGCCAAAGACTCAAGGTTCAGAAATAGGTGGCCTCAGAAGACCAGGTCAGGAAAGCCCAGTGAGGTGTTTGGGATGCCCACAAATTGCACATAAGAGTGGGTAGGTAAATAATAAGTTTGGGGAGAGTGAGCACTGAGCCATGAGGCTGGTTTAAAAGGGTGGGTCAGCTCAGAAAAAAAGACGTGACAATCAACTTTTGAAACACCGACGTCACTAAAAGCCCTGTGGAGCACTCGGGAAACACACAGGGTCGTACGAAGTAGGAATGGACTCGACAGCAACTGGTCATTGGTGGACGGAGAGAAAAAACCCTCACAGGTAGCTGATCTTTGATGACGGAAAGAAAGGATCTAAAACCATGTAACAGTGGTCCTGTGCCGTCCGTCCTCACGGTTGTTCCTCTGTGTGAGCGCATGGTTGTATCCATGGTGTCAATCGGTCTCATAGAAAGCCTTCCTCTCTGTCACTGCCCTTTGACTTTGCCAAGCGTGATGCCCTCTTCCAGGGACTGGACTCTCCTGACCACATGTCCAAAGTAGGTGAGATGATCAAATGGCATAGAGGTACATTAGGCATGGCTCGGAGACCACAGTTGCTGCAGATGACGGCAGCAAGGGAGGCCGCAGACCTAAGAGGCTGCCTGTGAAACGGCTCCTGGAACTGAAGAGCACTTGATTGCTCAAGTTTTACATGATGCAGATTTTTGTTGCATGGCCCAGTCTTCTGAGTCTAGCCATGTTGGTCAGTGAGACATGGATGTCTGGGCACCGGAGCTATGACTAGCATGAAAGAAGAACATCTTTTTGCTGTTGTTGTTGCCATTAGCTTGGTATGTATTTCTCTATCCTTTAAAAAAAATTTTAATGGTTTTATTGCATATCACTCTCATACCATGCAATTCAATGATTTAAGCCTATTAAAAACCAAACCAAACTCACTGCCATGGGGTTGATTCCAGCTCCTAGCGACAGGGTAGAACCCCCTGTGGCTTTCTGAGACTCTCTCTTGACGGGAGTGGAAAGCTCCATTCTTTCTGTGTAACAGCTAGTGGGTACGAACTGCAGCCCATGGTACAACCACTACACAACCAAGGCTCCTCAAACATACTACAAATATCTATGCAACTCTCACCACAAGGGATGTTAGAACAAGAAGACAGTCTTACAGCGGAGCCAGGGCAGGAGGTGTCTGGTGGAGCAGATGGTGTGTATAGGGCATATCCCAGTGCCTGGTGAATGGTACGTCTTCAGCGCATGTCTGTGCTACAAGTGAGTGGGGCCGAGGATGGGTCTTTGCGTAAAATATCGAGAACTGAGGACATAATCTCTGACCTCACCTCTTAAAAAACAAAACAAAACATGTCTGCTTCTTCACTCTTGGATGAATTGTATATAAAACATGTCTGGTCTAACTAAACGTGTCATTCTGAGATGTTGGCCCAAGAAGTATATTTTTTTAAGTATGATTAATTATATTCCTGTAGATTCCTCCTGGTTCATGAGTAGCTGTGTAGGATACACAGAAATCGTGCATTTCTAAAAGATTCTGTAAAACCAGGCACAACACATACATGTTGGAGGCCTTCTGATAGCCAGATGGAATCGCTAATATAATTTATGCAAAGTTAACATTGACAAATTGGAGTTGTATGTGCGAGTCTGCCGTCTAATCTTGAGTAATTAGTTTGTGTTTAAAAACCGGAGCCCCTCTAGATCATACAGTCTAAATTGTGAAAGCCGCAGAGTGATTGCAGAGGCTGCCGCTGTGTGCGTGATTATTAGTGGGATGCTGGGGAAGAGACATGGACACAGATGACTAACTAAGGTGGGGAGACCAGTGGGTTTGCTGTTGATAGTTGATGCTCAGCTTTCTACATAAGATTTGAGGTCCCTTGGAAGGGAGACACATATCCTAGCCAGTAATTTAAACCAAAGAGAAAAATCAGGAACTACAGAGGAAATGGGAGAGAGTGTGCTCCAGTAAAGCCACATGGTAGAAAAGGATCCGGAAATCAAGGAAAAATAATGTATGACTTCATAGCCTTCTTAATAAGGGAGCAACAATCTAGCTGGGCCCTGACTAGTTCGTGGACAATGATGGCCCAACTCTGAAAATGAGGAGTGATCATTGGGTCCAGTGGTGCGCTGGCAGATAAGTGGGGACTAGAAGAAGGGGCTGGGGGGTGGGGGGAGGCTTAAGAGTTCACTGCACCCTTCTGTGCTTCCAACGAGGAGACCTTGGTTAGAGGAGAGCGGATGCCCTGGGAGCGCGTGTCTCTTACTCTACTTATGGGACATGTGTCACGGCCGTGGAGAAGGAATGTCCAGAACATTCATCCTTCCAATGGGTGGGTTTGATCACGCTCCACCACCTTTTCATCCTTGTACTAACTAGGTTCTGGAAGAACCAGCTGGTGAATTCTGTGCCATCTGAAGTGTTGGGGGAAGAGATTTCTCCAAGGAAAGAAAACCAAAGACTAGTGGTTCTCAACCTTCCTAATGCCGCGACCCTTTCATACAGTTCCTCATGTTGTGATGACCCCCCAACCATCACATTATTTTCATTGCTGCTTCATAACTGTCATTTTGCTACTGTTATGAACTGGGCAACCCCTATGAAAGAGTCCTTCAACCCCCAAAGGGGTGCCGACCCACAGGTTGCGAGCTGCTGCCAAAGACCATCTACAAGAAACTCACTTCAAAATGTAGCAGAATCACTTTTTCACATCCCCTCCTTCCTCACAAAGAAATGTGAGGAAACATCTTCATCCTACAGAGAGAGAATGTCTCATTTCTCTTTAAGTGGATCACCTACTGCTTCTATGCTGGCATTTAGGGTTAGACGTGGGAGGAAACCAAAAGGTACTAACTAGAACCCATTTATAACCTGCCAGTCATTCAGAAATCAACTCAATGTGATTCCCCAAGTCACTTACCGAATGCAACTATCTTCCAGGAGATGGCCCTGATAGTAAAGTATTATTATACTAGGGGTGAATCAAACAACCCCCATCTCTTCCTTCCTCACCGCTTAGTGAAAGTGTACTCAAAAAGCACACAGGGAACTAGTGGCGCTGAGCTGAGGTGGTGTTCTTATTCGTATGTCATTACACCAAGACTATATTCTGTCTCTTTAGTTCGTAAGTGTGGCTTGTCTTTCTGGTTTCCCCATGAATGGCATTTTTATCAAGACTAAAGTGATATGTAGAGCTTAGTGGAAACTCTTGCTCTCTCTCTAGTAATAGATATAACACTTCTAATAAAGATTTGTAAATTTGAAAGTGCTGTTTGCATTCCTTCAAAAACACCCTGTGAATTTTATGGAACCAAGTTTTTTAAAAAATCATCTTTCTTTGCACAGCATTTGCCACACAACTTTTATTACCAGGTGGTCCCCTTGTTCAGAGCCTTACATCAAGTGAAACTGGGACAGCCTTGCATAAATGTCACGAAGGTTGGACTTGTTGGGTTTTGAATTGTGGGTGAGGTAGGGATGCGGGCAGGCAGTGAGGAGGGCTGTGGAACCAAAATTGGTAAAATTCAGAAACGAGATCATGAATGCGGCTGTCACATCTTTTGGAGACATCCCTCCCATTCCTTGTTCAACATGAGACATGCTGGTATGGCTGCTCTATGTGCTTTTAGTTTTAAATACTGCCTGTATCACAACATCGGTTTCTTTCTTGGCTTCAGGAGATGACCTGGCTCCCACCACTTTCTGCTATCCAGCCACCTGGCAAAGCGGAACCAAGCAAGTTTCCATTTCCAAATAAGGTAAGCTTGGTTGAGGGCGCACGCTTCCTCACTCGCTGGGACATTGATAGTGGACCCTGGGGCTTACCCTCTCCTGACTTTTCCTCTGTGGATCATCTTCCTGGAGGCATGTTCATCTGATCTTCAGCAAGCTGCAATCCTATACTTATTCATGTAAGCCTATTGACTTACTCTGCCAAAGATGGTGCCTATCACGATTCTCATTAGCTGACAACCTTCATCTTCCATGTTATTTGGAAGAAAGACTTCCCACAAGTCAACTGATAGTCTTAGAAACACTTGATATTTCTGAAGTCTCACATAACTCTTTGCATGCATTAGTCTTTACATTTGGTTTTTCTCTATTTGTATATGAAATGTTTGTATCACTCAAAATTGCCAGTGTTGATACAAGGAAATTCATAGGTAAAAGATTAAAATTTAAGGATTCAATGGCAACTTGTATATAAAGATTAGAATTTATCTAAATTTTGCTAAATAGAGATACTTAGAAATGATTTTGTGGGCTCTTAGTCATTTTATTTTTTGTTTTGATTTTATAATGAGGTTTATTTTTGTGCATATAAAATATAAATAGATAGTATATTTCCTAGATTTGAAGATACATACTATTAAGATTTTAAAATTTGTGAAATTGAAATGCATCTTAGTTATTTTATACATTCAATATGATGGTACATTTTACTCTTTTTGAAAAGCTATTATTAAATGGTGTATATTAATCATCAATGTCTTAAAATTGAGGAAATGTGATATGTATTCGTCCATTATAGTGTTTTGAACACTGAAAATACTTTCTAAAATTTAAATATATTTCCATATTTTCTAAGGAAAAGCACACAGAAAAAGTCACAGCATACATTTAAGATATATTTGAGTTTGTTAAAAAAGTTTGGCTGTATAGTTAACACACCTATACACTTATAATATCGACCAAAGTATACAAATAAAAGGATAAAAATATAAAACCCTTGGATTCTTGTCCAATTCTTATTTTACTACCCAGAAATTACTATCAGTAATTTGATATATGTCATTTCAGTTATTTCTCCTGTCCATTTAGAATATATACATTTCAGGTTTTTAAGCTATATATGGCATAAAAATAAAAGTATTCTTCAAAGAGTTCATTTTTATTCCTTTAAGATGATGTATTGAAGCTCTTTGCAAGCACATTCATTGTTGTTAGTGGCAACCTCATGAGACAATCAAATTGGCCCCAAAGGGCTTTCTAGCCCATATCATATATACATATATGTATATATATATATATATATACACATACATATGTATGTAACAGTTTTATTGGCACTTCATCCACATATCATACAATTCAACAGTTCAGTCATATCAAGTACAGTTGTACAATCATTGCCACATTTTCCCCTGAACTCATTAGTGTAATCATTCCTTTTTTAAAAATTGTGGCAAAAATATACACAGCAAAACATTCTTCATGTACATTCAACTCAGCGCCCTTCTGGCCTGTGGTCTTCCTGGGAGCAGACCACCTGGTCTTTCTGACAGCCAGCCTCTCCCTTATCAGCCGGACACCTGCATTGCCCCCTCTCATCAGCATCCCTCCACAATTCCTCCAAGTGAACAGATCAAGATTTCATTTCAACTTCTTAACAGAGACAATGTATTTCATAATATGAATTTGCCATAATTAATTGGATCAAGTTCTTTTTCAATTCTTTGTATGAATCACTATTTCTGCTGATGAATCTGAAGTATTGCATGGACCTGATGAAAATATTTTAAGACTGATCACGGTGATCAACTGTGAATATACTAAAAATCTGTTTTTTTCCAAGTGGTCAACTAGATTTGGTACATAAGCCATAGTTGGCCAACTCCTGATTTAAAGCATTAATGATTTTTTAACATATTTTTATGCTTATATGATTTATAACATGCTTCTATGTGGCCAGATGGGCCCCCACCCCCACTCCTGCCCTTTATTTTTCAGAGTCTTCCCTGTTGCACATTTTCACTTCTAGGTCCGCTTGAACACTGTTTTTATTATATGTTGGTCTCTAAAATAACCCTCTAGCTTCATTTAATGGAAAATATCCATTTTTACAATATTGTCTTATCTCAGAATTTTTTTCCCAAAGTCTTCCTTCTTAGCCTTTAACCAACAGCCTGCAGGTCTTTGACATTGGTTGCTTAGTTTATTCTTAGGATCTCTTGGCATTTGTTTTCTTTTTCTATTTTGAATCTGTTCTTTTTAAGTTATATGTTTTCTAATTAGTCATTGCTAATCTGAAAGAAAGTCACCCCACCCCCACACACACCAGGTTTGATATACCCACTCACTGAACTCCCTTTGGCTTTGATAGAGTTTTGGGTGGGCTTACATTTTCCAAGTAAGAGAGGGAAAAAAGAATGAATAACTCTACTGTACATCCCTGTGATTCATTTCCTTAACACAATCAAGTAAACGTTTTTTGCTATATAAACATATCTGTAAGTACAGTTTCTGATTTAACTAAGCCCAGGCCAAAGCATGTTTGACTATTGCAAAAGAAGTGTACAAATTCTCTTCAGTTTGATTTTAATATAGATTCCCATGTTTAAGCAATAACTTAATTCCTGATGTGAAATTATGAACTCATAGCCTTAGTGTGAAAAATGTATCTTTCAAACCAGAAAGTTTTAAAATATCTTGTTAAAAAGGCACTATTAGTTACCCTGTAGAAATGAAAGAGGACTGGCTGCATTATCTCCCTGTCACCGCTGTTGTGAATTACGGCAACTTTGTTTTTGTCAAGCAACACAACTGTACTGTCTTACAGTTCTGGAAGCCAGAAATCCAAAATTGGTAACGTTGGGCTGAAGTCAGGCTCCACCAGGGCTCTCTTGTTGCGGAGCCTCTCGGAGAACATGTGTTTTCTTGCCTTTTCCGGCTGTTTAGAAGCTGCCTGCTTTCTTTGACTCAGGTCCTGCTTGGCTGTGACCTCTCCCTTCTTCCTTACAGCCTTCTCTGCTCCTCCTGACCCCCTGGTACAGAGATTGCATTCAGCCTGCCCCAATAAACTAGGATAATCCCCACCCTTAACTTACTCTCATCTGTAAGCTCCCTTTTGGCAGGTACGCTAACATAGTCACAGGTTCCGGGGTTTGGGACAGGGATGTTTTTGAGGTGCATTTTCCGGCCTCCCACCCAGACTCCCGTTCATTTTCACATAGTGTATCTCTCTTCATCTGTATCTTCCCTAATTAGGAGACCGACAGCTGGAGACTTGTAATTTATTAATTAGGCTATTAATGTGTCAGGCCATCACTACTGCTACTGTGTAAGAGCTAGAATTAGCTACCGAATTTGAGGGGCAACATCTCTGCAGAGGCTAATCAACAGTGAGACTAAGCGCTTACAAAGACGGAGGGGGAGTAACTATGCCTTCTGAGCTATCAGTACCACTAAATTAATCCGAAAGCTTCCGAGAAAGTGCCCGATTTTGCCTGGGTCTGGGAAGTCAGGCTATACAGGACAGTCCGTTGATCCCCCGCTTGGATTTTCTCTGAGGACCTCAGGGGCAGCCACAACCCCTTAGCCAAACGGCCTCACTCTTCTGATCTCAAAAGCAGTTGGACTGAGTCAAAGAAAGAATGCCGGGCTCCCTCCATTCGCTGCTGTGATCAGGTATTTCAGCCAAGAGGGGAGACAACGAATTGGCGGGGCCCATTTCCCTTCCTTTCCTTTCTCTGGAAGTCTCTGAAGTTTTAACTCCACCTGGTAGAAGTCATCCCCCGTCCCGCACCCCCCTCCCCTCCCCAGGCCAGGTGGAATGCATTTGCCAGGCATTCCATGTGGCAACAGAGGCGGGGTCCAGTGGGACCTGACCGGACCTGGAATGATTCTCTCTCACCGGCGTCTTCAAGCGCTTTCCGCAGAAGAACCCTCCGTCAGGATGGAGATGAGGGGCCTGTGGCCTCGCTCTCTTTCGCCCTGGAAACGAGAAGAACGACCCGCACGTGTGAAACGGAGTGCTTTGACATTGGAGCGGGGAGTATATGATAAATCGCCCTCTCTGGATGGCCAGCACGCATAGACACTGCCACCAAATGTTTGGAATCAAAGTTCCTGTTAAGCACTCCCTCAAAGTAAACATTTTAATGAGCTGTAAATTACATGATCCCAATGCATTTTCGCTCTGGGGAATCTACACACCAGGAGATCATTGGTGGGGTGAGCAGGGGTGCAGACACATCCACGGCTCTGTTGCCTGTAGTAAGTAGTGTTACTGGGGAACTGAGAGGCGCCCCGGTGGCATACCTGTTGGGCTAACCAAACGTTACCAAAACTAAGAGGTCAGCAGTTCAAACTCAACAGCTGCTCCGAGGGAAAAAGATGAGGCTTTCTGTTCACTTAAAGATTTCAAGCCTCAGAAACCCACAAGGGCAGTTGTACTCTGCCCTATAGCATCGCTATGAGTCAGAATTGATTTAGCGGCTGAGAGATTTTTTTTTAGGGTTCTGAACATAGAGGAGATGTATCTTCATCCTCTGCCTATTGTGGTAGACGGACCTTACGTGACTCCAAACAGCAACTTTTGATAGTGCCCTCAGAGTGTGAATCTAGTCCACCACCAGAAACGTGGCTAAAAGCTACAGGGATTTTATTGATCGTAAGATGCATGTGTTTTCTCTATTTTAAGATCTCTAAAATTTGGTTCTGTTTTATGGTTGGTGCTACCTTGCAATTTATAGACAGATGTTACCTGAAACAGTAGACCTCCTCCAGTTTTGAGGGCATGTTCCTTTTGATGAAATACAGTATTTAGTGCAATGTTTTATTGAAGGTCTCTCTCTCAGAGGTCAGTAAGCCTGGTTATTTCTGTCTTCAGCAGAGTGGTGTGTATGAGCTCAACTTCTAAGCTAGTAGGATTCTCATGTACCAGAGGATAATGGATGTGTTGGCACTTCAAGATATAAAGATGGGGAGGAATAAAGTGTTCCTCTGTGGATGTTCTTTTTGAGTAACCTGGAGTGGTTCTCCCCTTTGTTACTCCACATACTGTGACTGTTAGAAGGACATGCTCTGGATGAATGACCTTGGCCAACCGAAGCAGATTCACCTTACAGATATCCTGAGATGGAATTATAGACAACCATAGATGTATATATAAGTAAGGGCCTTGGTGGCGTAGTGGTTATGTGTTGGGCTCCTAACTGCTTGGTCAGCAGTTCAAAACCACTAGCTGGTCCACAGGAGAAAGAGGAGGCTTTTTATCCCCTTAAGGAGTTACAATTTCAGAAACTCACAGGGCCAGTTCTACTCTGTCCTATTGGGTTGCCATGAGTCGGCATCAACTCTATAGCAGTGACTTTGGTTTTTTTTGGATTTTTCCTAATCGATATAGATAGTCTAGAAATAGACATAAATATACACTTTCCTACTCCTTTGGAATTTTCTTTAATGGATATATAAACAATTTTATTTTAAAAACTAGTTGGTACTCAATTAAAAAACTAACCCTTGGGCTAAGGCCAAAATAACAGAAACATTCTTTTATGACTTATTATCAAGTTGTATACTGTGATTGATTTAATGTTATTTAGACTGAGCTCCACCCTGTCCTATGGGGTCTCTCGGAGTCGACATGGACTTGATGGCAGCGAGTTTGGCTTGTTTTGTGATGTTTCATACTAAGCTCTGGTGGTATTTTGTGTTGCACCTTGGTCTGTGAACTTCAAGGTCAGCAATTTAAACCCACCAGCCCTTCTGAAGGAGAAAGAGAAGACACTCTGCTCCCATAAGGATTCACAACCTCAGAAACCCTAGAGAGCAGTTTTATTGTGTCTTATAGAGTTCCCTAGAAGTCGGAATGCTGAGCACATAATCAGAGAAACTGGATTATAGGAAGAAGAATGTGGATCAGGATTGGAGGAAGGCTGTCTTGCTTGTTCGAAGTGAGGAGGACTGGAAGCACTTGCTGATGAAGATCAAGGACTTCAGTATGGATCACAGCTCATACAGAGAGTGCAGCAATCCTCACAGCTGGACCCATAGTTAACGTCGTGACACATGGAGAAAAAATTGAAGTTGTCAAGGATTTCATCTTGGATCCACAATCAGTGCTCATAGAAGCAGCAGTGAAGAGATCAGTGGACGCAGTACAGTAGGTAAATCTGCTGCACAAGACTTCTTTAAAGTGTTTAAAAGCAAGGAGATTACTTTGAGAACTAAGGTCCATCTGACCCAAGTCATGGTATTTTCAATAGCCTCATGTGCATGTGAGAACTGGACGCTGCATAAGGCAGACCGAAGAAAAGGGCATACATTGGAACAAAGAACATTGAAAGTACCATAGACGGTCAAAGAGCAAACAAATCTGTCTTGGAAGAAGTACAAGAATGTTTCTTAGAGACTTTGTCTCACGTGCTTTGTGCATGCTGTCAGGAGAGGCCATCACGCTTGGGGAAGTAGAGGGGCAGCGAAAAAGAGGAAGACCCTCGGCAGATGGCTGGACACAGTGGCTTCAGCAATGGGCTCAAACATAAGAGCATTTGTCAGGATGGTGCGGGACCAGGTGGCGCGTCCTGAGGTTGTACACAGGGTGGCTATGAGCTGGAACTGTCTCAAAGGTGCCTAATAACAGGAACAACATGAGTCGGAGCCAACTGGATGGCAGTGGGTCTGGCTTATGGGTTTTGGAATGACTTAAGAAAGTGATGGTTGACTCCTAACTGACAAGTGGGTGGTTTCAACCGACCCAGAGGCACCTGGGCAGACAGGATCGGGGATGTGCTTTTGAAGGAGCACAGCCCTGAAGACTGGAGGAGTGTCACTCTGCACCCCCAAATGGGGTTGTGATCATCAGAACTGACATGACAGGGGAAAGCCACAGGGGTAGTTCTACCCTGCCAGATAGTTACTATGAGCTGGCAATGACGATGGCAGTGAGTGAGTGAGTGAGTGAGTGAGTGAGTGAGTGAGTGAGAGAGTGAGTGAGTGAATGCATTCTTCCATCAGGCTTTTGCTACATTTTACAGGAATGGGGTGTCACCCCATGTGTAAAAACATCAGTTTTTAAGAGGAATTCTAATGGAGTAGTGTAAAATGAGCCAACCTGGTGTGTAGAGGTTGGGTGGGAAGGTGGGGAAGGGATCCCACATTCCGTCGACGACAGTGATTCAGACAAAGATGCCTCATCAACTTCCTTCCCAATTGGTAATAATGAGTCATTCACCCACAGCAAAGCCCAAAGAGTCGGCTCCTGGAAACAGTCTCTGAAAATTAAGTATTGTTCCTAAAACGATACAATCCTCCTCCGAATTCATCTTGGCTGACTTTGTCGTTCCCCAGCAGGCACCCACAGTTACTAGCTCCAAGTAGACTGGCGTGTTCCTCTTCCTTTCTAAATAATTCCAGGCTTTATATCTGAGTGACAGACAGGTTTAGCGTTGACATGTGAAGAACACATTTGGAGCCCTTGGTCGTTGATCAGAAGAGCTTCGGTGGTGTGGTGTTATGTGTGGGGCTGCTATCTGCAAGTTCAGCAGTTCGAAACCACCAGCTGCTCTGCAGGAGAAAGACGAGGTTTCTTTCTGTCACTGTAAAGAGTTAGTCTCAGGAACTCACAGGGGCAGTTCTCCCCTGTCGTAATTACAGGGCCACTATGAGTGGGAATCGACTCGAGGGCCGGGAGTGAAGAGTTTGAGATGACTTGCTGTGCCAGAGACAGGGCTTGGCCCTTGGGAAGTGAGAACTCGGTCATTATCCAACAGCCCAGAATGGTAGTGGGTTGTTCTCAGGATTAAGTTGTCCCTAGGAGCCACCGGTCATTTTGAACTGCTGACCTTGCTGTTAGCAGCCCATCGTGTGAACATGACACCACTAGGGCTCCGTGGAAAACATTGAGCCACATCAACCTCTCCAGACGCACTGCCATCGAGTCGGTTCCGACGCACAGCAACCCCGTAGGACAGAGTTGGAGTGCCTCTGTGGGTTTCTGAGCCTGTCACTCTTGGTGAGACTAGAAAGGTTCATCGTTCTCCCTCCGAGCAACCAGCGGTTTCCAAGGGCTGACCTGGTTAGCAGCCCAGTGCATCACCACTAGGAAGGAGTTCATTCTATTCTAGTTCATTTTCGTTCCGCACATCAGAAGTACGAAGGCGTTTGGGCCAATAGAGGGGGTTACTTATGATTTCACATGCCCACCTTTTCGAATCATCTGAGAAGGAGATCGCTGCATCAGCATTGCAGGAAGACGCATTAAAAACCTCCAATACGTGGATGGTACCACTTTGGGAGCTGCAAGTGAGGAGGACTCAAAGAACTTCCTCGTGAAGATCAAAGGCCGTCACTTCCGTGTGGAGTGACCACACCACAGCGTAAACCAAAAAGTCCTCCCTCCTGGACCAGTAAGCCACACGGTGAAGAGAGAAAAGATTGGTCATGTGCAGAATTTCTTTTTACTTGGATCCGCATCAACTCCAGTAGAAGCATCAGTCTGGAAATCCAATGACATCTTTCACTGGGCAAAACTGTTGGAAAAGACCTCTGCACATTGCTAAAGAGCAAAGATGTTTTAAGACCGCACTGTGCCTGGCCCAAGCCCTGGTATTTTTAATCCTCACATGCTTATGCAAGCTGGACGGTGATTAAGGATGGCTGAAGAAGAATTGGTGTCTTGCAGGTAGGGCGTTGGAAAATATTACTGACTATGATATGGACTTCCAGAAAAATGAACGCATCTGTCTTGGAAGGCATACAGCTGGAATGCTCCTGAGAAGCAGGGATGGCAGGAATTTGTCTTACATATTTGGGATACATTATCAGGAAGGAACCACTCATTCTTGGAGAAGGACATCAGACTTGGCAAAGTAGAGGGGCGGCGAGAAAGAAGCTCCTCAGTGAAGTGGGTGGACCCCGGGGCTGCCACAGTGGACTAAGCCGCAGGAGCCAGTGTGGGGGTGGTGCAGGAGCAGGCATTGTTTCCATCATGCTTTCCATAGCGCCCAGCAGGGTAGACCTGACAGCCACACCATTTCACTGAATTATCTTCTAAGTCTCCCTTAGAGTTCACATTCAAAGGGGATTTTTGAAGGCAAGAAGAGGGGAAGTCTCAAGGCAAAACCCAACATTTCATTTTAATGCAAAGAAAATTAAAGTCAGTCTCCATGTCCCCAAGCAGTAACGAAGCTCCACTGGCTTTGTGCCATTTCAGATAAGCGGGCGTCCGCACGAATCGTTCCTGCCACTGATGGGAGACTGGCATCCCTTGTTCAGTAACATGTCCCTGGTGAGTTGATAGCCAGCCTCAGCTCCAGAAATGTGGTCAGAGTCAAGGTGCATTGAATAAAAAGCAGATTCAATTAAAAGTCAATCATACAAAACAGAAGTTTTTGTGAACGGTCTTCCTTGAACTGCTTAACAAGCTCACTCACTGGGTCTCATGGGATCGGTTGGTAGAGATTGGGATCAGTGATTAGTTCTGAATGACCACTCATCTATCTCCTGTGCAATTAGGTTTAGAAAGAAAAACTAAGAACATTAACTGATATTTCTTGTTTGTTTTTGTTTTTTTAGGACTGTCAGCTTGTCTCCTCCGGACACAATAATCCAAGTAAGAAAAACTTCTCTTTATGAGTTGCATATGGGGCAGTGCATGAGGAGGGGGATGAACGTGCCCCTGACAGTAGGTCACTGTGAAAAACGTGAATACATGAAATAAAACAGAATGCTAAAAACGAAATCAAGTGGGAAGACAAGGCCATTGGGTCAGGTGCTGACTGAATGGATGATCAGATCGGAGGTGACCCTGGGTGCTCCTGTGCTTTTATTCAAGGTGGAAAGCGCCCAGACAGAATGCTGGAAACCTGTCCTAAGAGGAAAGAGCAGAATGATTTAGTGTATCTAGAAGGAAAAAAAAGTTTTTTAAGCAGCTAATGGGTTGTCTACATTAAAAGAAAATGAATAGCCCAACAGCAATAACAGCAAAAGCCAGAGAAAAGACACCAAGATAAATGGCCTTAGAATTCATGGGGAAAATAAACAAATAAACAATCCCACCCTGCTGAGAATGTGTACCTTACCCTCTGCCAGAAACAGACGCTGAGGAAGGAGGACCCTTGGGGAAGCCAGTGTCTAATCAAACACGTGGGCTTTACTGTCACAGAGAGGGGCCCATTGATCCACCACATCGTGCTTTACTTCACTTCTTTGCCATAACTGACTGGCAGGAATATCTTGGGCATTAAAAATGCATGGCTTTGCCCGGCTCGTGTCAGAAAGGCACACCCGTACCCACAAACATTGGGTTTTTTTCATCCCTCAGCCACCCAGTCAGCTGAGAGCAGCTCCTGTCAATCACAAAGCTGTATTTGAGGATGAAAATCACTCTGAACTGACGGATGTGCCTTCAGAATCACGTGTTCCCCCACCGGGCATCTGTGAACGAAGGAGAGAAATGGCACCCAGAGCAAATGCGCCGGGAGTGTCCCCTGCTCTTAATGCACAGGTAGAGGACAGACCGAGTAGAGAAAGGGTACCAGAAGGTGGCAGAGGCCGTATCACTGACTTAGCCCACCTGCTCTCGGGATGCACTGACTACAGGCACCATCAAAGAGGGAAAAGGCCTAGGGAATTGGAATCGGCGGGAATAAGCGATGCCCTGGTATGTAGGTGCATGGGGCTGCCACAGACTACAGAGTCCTAAAGACTTGCCATTGCTCCCTTCCCTGTTCCATGTGAATTTAAATCACTCAGAGTAGGCGGAGGATTGAATAGATGAGTAAACGCACCCTTCTCCTAGTTCCCAGTGTTTGACAGAAAGAAGACGCAAAACAATGAGTTGTTGAGTCTTGATTGTGCCAGCAACTTGGCATGTGTTATTTCAGCTAATCCTAGAAAGAGCTGGAGGAGCAGGCATTATGATTGCAATTTACACGTGGGG